AGTGGAGTGGAGTGGAGTGGAGTGGAGTCGGGTCGGGTCGGGTCGGGTCGAGTCGAGTCGGGTCGAGTCGAGTCGAGTCGGGTCGAGTCGAGTCGAGTCGAGTCGAGTCGAGTCGAGTCGAGTGAGAGTGAGAGTGAGTGAGAGTGAGAGTGAGAGTGAGTGAGAGTGAGTGAGAGTGAGAGAGAGTGAGTGAGAGTGAGTGAGTGAGTGAGAGAGTGCATGAGAGAGTGAGAGAGTGAGAGTGAGGTTGCGAAGGGACGAGGGGACCAAGGACGAGAGGACTAGGGTATCAACATTTTTATTGACGCTTATCAATTTCTTCTTGACGCTTCAATATTTTTAATACCTCTCCCGATTTGAGGCAGCAGCAAGGCGCATCGTAACGCGCCTTGCTCTGTACTTGACATTGAAACTTTGCTCAGCCTCCGTCTCTTCGAGCTCAAGTCTTTTGAGGCCGAGAGCAAAACATGAGACCGCATTCTGCAAATGCTCCATGGCTTTGGCGGATTACTATTTCATTATATAAAGAATCGAGCGACGTGGCAAAGCGTGTCCGCGAGTGATTGCACGCTGGTACGCTGGTACGCTGGCGGTGGCTAGCTGCGCTGATTGCGCTGGTTACGCTGGTTACACTGGTCACGCTGGTCACGCGAGTCACGCTGGTTACGCTGGTTACACTGGTTACGCTGACTACGCTGATTACGCTGATTACGCTGGTTACACCCGTTACGCCGGTTATGCCGATTACGCTGGTTACGCTGGTTACGCTGGTTACGCTGGTTACGCTGGTTACACTGGTTACACTGGTTACGCTGATTACGCTGATTACGCTGGTTACGCTGGTTACGCCGGTTACGCTGAATACGCTGGTTACGCTGGTTACGATGGTTACGCTGCTTACGCTGGTTACGCTGATTACGGTGGACGGTGTAGACGGTGTAAACAGTGTAAACAGTGTATAGACGGTGTAAACGGTGTAGAAGGTGTAAACGTTGTAAACGGTGTAGGCGGTGTAACCGGTGTATACGG